GGGAGCCCGTGGTCTCAAAACCCGGTACATACGACGCCGCGGGGAAACAAAACAGAAATAGGGTACAGACCACTCGGAGAAAGAATACAAAATGATAGAAAGAAAGAACAGGTACCGCACCGACCGTTCGAGAAAGAAGTCCTCGGATTCGGGTGAGTCAGGTGTTTTTTACACTTCAGAGTACATGTGTTGTACCAGGTACCAAGGAGACTTGAATTGCATTTCTTCACGCAATACACATCATCGCACGAAGACCACCCACACTGTCTGCTATCTGCTGTGTGTGTTTTCGTCCTGTGGACTAAACTGCTGTGGATCAATCAGCAACGATTTGACATGGATTCGTTGGGTTACGCATGCATGGCGTCGGGCATGGTGAAAAAGAAGAGTAAGAACAGCCGCGGGCGGACAAAAAGAAGCTCGAAATTCGTTCCCGAAGAACCAACAACGGTTCCCAGACTCCAAACGAACCTGCGGAACGGCGATCGACACGACAGCAGTGCAAAAGTCTTCTGTTCAGCCCCCAGAAAATTCTGGGGAAGGATTACAAATCTGTCGTTCGACGAAGCTGCAACAAGCAACAAGCAGGTGTTGTAGTCTACTAGAAGAGGTTACGCCGCATCCGGCACTCGCCCTCTCCCACCTCCTCGCACAAACTATAGACAGCATCAAGAACAACAACACCACCAACACCAAAACCATGCACAGCAAGGCCACGGACAACAACCACAACAGCAACAGCAACGACATCAACATGACAGCGTGCGTGACGAACAAGGCCAGCTGCAAGCATACGGGAAAGTCGAACCCTCTGCTGTACAAGGCTGCAGCGAGGAACCTTCGCGAGTACCACGGTGTCCCCTCCATGACAGCGGGCGGCCTGGAGAAGACCATAGTCCTGCTCCAGCTCCGCCCCGGCCACCTGGTGGCGCAGGGACTTGCTCCAAAGCAGCTCCTCGAGGGAAAATCAGCAGCTGACGACGCTGACGCGGACAACACGGACGGCAGCAGCAGCAGCAGCAGCAGCAGCAGCAGCGGATCCGAAGTCGAGCCAGAGCAAGCGGACAACGACCCGGTCTTGGGCGACTCGAACAGCAACAGTAGCGACGGCAGCGACACCGAGCACGATAACATCGCCACCCAGGACAGCATCGGCATGGAGACCGGAGCCAGCAAGCACCCCATCCACGCGGTGTTTGTTGCCGCAGGTGTCCAGCTCCGGCCCCGCGAAACCAGGCCGTTGCTCCGTGCGCTCGGCGTAGGACCTCACCGCCACGGCCGCGGCCACCGCCACGGCAGGCGTCCTGCCTACGGCGATCGCCGCCGCTCGTCAAGCCCTACCCACGGACCGCCCCGCGGACCGTTCGAAGAATACGGTGGACTGCACCTCCACCACGGACCCGGCGAGAGCGAAGGAGAAGCAGAGATGGCGATGATGCATGCCGGGCCGCGTGGCCCTCCCAACGGAATGCATGCCCCCCCGCACCTCCGCGGACAAGCCAAGGGCGGCCCTGGTCTCCACGGCATGCCCATGCATGACCGCCAAATGCACTCCTTCCACGGAGGTCGCCGCTTCCACAGCGAGGGTGTACACAGCAGAGGGGGTGAGGGAGAGCGTGGTCCTCAAATGCACATGGGCCCAGGTCACCACGCCCACCCTCGTCGCCACCCGGAACACCACGGCATGCACCAGCTGGAGAGGGACGGGGACACTGCCGGTACGGACATGGACCATAGCCCCGTTCCTCACGGACCAGGACGGCACCACCACCGAAGCCCCGTCGGTCTACACCACCGACCGCACGGCCCGCCCCCCGGCCCGCCCGGCATGCGTGGCGGAATGCGGTGCGAGGACTTCGGTGACGACTTTCACCTCCGGCCGCATCAGCAGCACCAGCAGCACCGGCAGCAGCACGGAAGGATGGCGGCGGGCCGTGCTCGCGGTCACCCCTGTCACGAGCGCCGCGCTCCCTTGCAGATGATGCCGATGCAGGCCTACTGAAGAGGAGAACAAGGCACCGTGATGTACGGCTGGTTGAACGGTATGTGTTGCTGCTGGCCAGAGAGCTACGACGAGGCAGCAGCATCTGACCTGGAGTAGAAAGCAGTTCTTCGGCGGGAGAACGAGAGACGGTTGGGTTTGGCCTGATTTTGGCGTGCTTTGAATTTGTTTGTTTATTTGCAATTGGGCAGAAGCCTCCCTCGGGAAAACTGATACGAGGGACAAAGGGCGTGCACCTTATGGTATACACCTGTGCGTGGTACGGTACGTTCTAGAAGGCCTCTGCGCTCATGCAGCCGTAGTGTATACGTTGTGTGTGTTTGAAGAGTCTTGCATTGTGTTGGTACGCCACCAGATGTTAGTGGAGATTTCTGCCTGCTGACGTACGGCTGTGCTCCGTGTTGTTTGCTGTACGATGGCAACTAGTTGTGTTGTCGTCGCAGGTAGCAGACGTAAACAGTCTCTGCTGGCAATCATACGCTGAATTCCTTTTGGTTTGAGCGTCTCTTGATCAGTAATGCACCGAGGAGGAGCGGGGTACCCGCCCCCGCGGCGAAATACTGCGGTGTTTGTGTGTTGCAGTCCCATACCTACGGAGAGAGGTTGTAACGGGGTGAGTCGCGTGGCCAAGAGTGACGAAACGGATGTTTTCTTCTGTTTTTTTGTGTAAGCGGTATTGCTGGTGTCTGGAGATGTATTGAGTGACGATAGACACCCTGCAACCAGTCATTCGTCGTTTCCTGTTGACGTTCCGCCTTTTGTTCGAAGCGCGTGTGTTTTGTATGTCGCCGAAGCTGCTTCTCAATGGAAGCACAGAAGCGTTGGTAACACTTGTGTTAGCGTTAAGGCGTACGTGCGTGTCGTTGTCTTCAGTCCTGCCTGCGTTGTGAAGCTGCAGCTGACAGCCCCGAGTCTGTGTCTTTGTGGTACCGTGTGTTGTAAGGAGGATAATTTGTCTGGCACGTGTTGAGCGGACAAGTGTTGCAGGCTGCAGATAGGCATGCAGTGCACGTGTTGTGGAGTGCTGCTGATGGCGATGCATCGACAAGAACAAAGAAACAACTGGCTTCGACATCGGAGCCCACGAAAAACAAAAAAAACACACCCGGTGGGTTCTTCCCACCACCCTCTTGAAAAAGAAAATGCCATGATTCCGACACGGAACTGCCTTTTACGTTCGTTCGTTGTTTTCGTATCGTGCTGATCGACGCCAGACCACCGGTGTCGCAATCGAGGCAGATCGAGCTGTCTGATGACTGCTCTCTGCTCTAGCGTACACGATTGTGTGTGAAGTGTACTTCAATTGACTGTTGGAAAAATTCCGATATATTATTTGTGGGCTAGTTGAATTGATTGGCTCATCATACACTGTCTACGAGTAGAACGTGGTGTGGTATGAAATATGTATTTGCTCTCTTGGTACGATGTCACGTAGTACCCGGTCTACATCTGCGCGTCGTGTGTACGGTTGACGTGTTCGTATGTCCGAGAGAACATGAAAATACTTGAATCACTACTGCCGTGCGTGGTGGAATTCGTGCGACGCGTTGACAGGTCAGCTTCAAAACTCGTTTGACCCGCCCCCACGCACACCACACGAGTGATTGCTCTAATGGTTCGTGCTTTGTCTTCTGCCTCCCTGTAGTGATCGCCGACGACACTCAATACCAGGGACACAACTCAGGCGGACCTACCGGAAACATGCCCCACCTACACAACTCGCAGACCGTTGTCGAAATGAATGGCTGTTGACCCAACTCCCGAGATGCTGACACACAAGTTTCGGGTTGTTACATGTAGCGATATTACCTCGCCCTCGCGGGTTGGTAGGCGGTTCAACCCCATCAGTTGACCCAGAAAGCTGCGGTACTACTACGTAGGTTGTTGACACACACCGCGTGCATTGCAATTCATGAGCCTCTACCGCATCCAACAACACGACATGTACGTATGTATCCCATTCGACAGGGCGCAGTCTGGCTCTTGCCACATCCACTCCACAGTGGGTCAAGGGTGCCGCGCGAAAAATCTGCAATCAATCGAGATTCCTCTCTCAAGCACACCTACGCCGCAGATCACGATCGGTTCAGGATGCGGCTATCCNGAAAAATCTGCAATCAATCGAGATTCCTCTCTCAAGCACACCTACGCCGCAGGTCACGATTGGTTCAGGATGCGGCTATTCATCAAGGCACATCAACGAACGACGTCCAACCTCTTGCATTGATGGGTGATTTTCAATAATTGTTCGCCATCACATGACGCACGCTCTCTGTTCTTTGTCACCTTCTACGCATATTTATTTCCGTTTTATCCTCTGTCGCGAAGAATAAGCATGTACCGTATGTTTTCAGACACGAAAGTCGCACCTTAAAACACACGTGTGCACACCCGCAGTCCCCCCACAACATTTGCTGTTGACGATCTATCTATCCATGCGCTCGGCCCGCATCACCTCGGTCATGAGCTATTCCCCGTAAGACGACTTTTTTTTCGGGTTAGGAGTGGACGTCATCTATTATGTACGGGGGCTTTCAGCTTCTGTTCCCGCTTTTCTGAAACCACTAAATACAATTGAGGCAACCATCTTATGCAATCCACTCAAGGCGCTTATCTCGTACCTACCGCTGCTAGCTACAGGACATGTCGGTAGGTAAGCAGGACCAGCCATCCATTGCTGTCCAAAACAACTCATGATAATGAAATTTCGGAGTCACTCAGCGGTAGGAAGAAGAGGAAGGTTGACTGGACTAGTACGACAAACGTTAGGTCGCATCACAACGTCTGTCTCCAAACGCCACAGATACACTTCGATACAAAAACACACCCTCGGCGACCTCAAGAAAACAAATATCCCGGACAGATGTAGCAACGGCCTTGGGCTCTTGTCATTGCTCAACTAAATAGCGCTGGTGGATCGCCCTCTTCTGTCCCCGCACAGGAGGGGTGGACGCATGGTAGCCCCACACACTGAGCCCCCTTCCCTGCAGCTTTCACGCCGTCGTCATCCGCTATTCCTGGTATGCTGTACGCCACACACCGGTGTGTCAGTCACACGCATCGCCATTCGCCTTTGGTCGGACGGCGACATTCATGTCGCTGCTCCTGCTGTCGCTGCCGCTGCTGTTGTTGATAGTTCGTGCTCCGCCGAACCTCCGTCACCCTCTGCACCACCCGACGTCCCGGCAGTGAACGCCGCCGCTGTTGTTGCCGATGGGGGTAGTGCCTCCACGCCGCCGCCCTTCGAAGATGTGGTCTTGCTTGGGCCACGACGGGCAATGTCATCACCGGGATCAGGAGCTTCGCGTGGGCGGCGTCGGTACCGTGGGTGGTTGTCGAGCGGGGCGGGGAGGCGAGAATTCTCGCGCCCTTTGCCGTACTCGAGGGACAGCACGCGGAGAACAATACGTAGGGCGGAAGGGCCCATGGTAGAGACCTTGAGCGTGACCTGTGGCGATGGGTTGAGAGGGAACGCCCTAGGGCGTGCTCACGGGGGGGGGGGGGGGGGGGTNACGCCTGCGACAACCAGGTACCTCAGCCTGCCCCATTTTCTGCGAAAGCCGCTGCTGCTGCTGCCGTCGTGGGAAAATGACATTGGAGGGGTGGCATACTGTATGGGAGGCGAACAGCAGCGAAGGAGGGCACCAGCGGGAGCCGGGGGGGGGGGGGTGGGGGGGGGGGGGGGGGGGGGGGGGGGGGGAGGTTACGCTTGCAAAGAGGCCGGGCTGACAAGGAGCGAAATAATTGTGGGGGCTATAAAGCATTTGTGCAGGGCACAGGGCCAGAGGCTGTTTTTTATGCAGCTCACAGATTATGGAAGATTCTTGTCAGCCGGTACTCGCGGTCGATGCTCAGTAACAATGAGAGACAGCTCACAATAGGCACACACAGTAGAAGAATTAAAACTGTGGGGACCGAACCATTTGGCCCGACATCCTCTTGCTGCCTTGCTCTCACCAGGGTCCTAAGCAGCTCGTAGGCGTCCTTTTCGGCTTCCGAGGGGGATCCGGCGCTGCCCTTGATCTCCTTGGCCTTGTTGGCGTCAATGACTCTACACAGGAGTGATAGGAACGCAACACGTAGGGCGTGTTTATGCAGTCAACACTAGAAAGCACCAGCGTACATTTTTGCTAGGCATCACAGGTAGGGTTTGGTTTATTCACTCCGCACATTCAGAAATGAGCGCTCAGCAGAACGTGCGTCTCGCCTTGGTGTTCCACACAGAGTTTGCGCCTATGGTAAACACAACCAACACAACACAACCATGCCAGACAGTAATAGGGAAATTGTATTGTTATAAACCACAGCGAGAAACTCTCACTGCGTCCGCAGGACCCGCGCTTCCTCCACGATCTCCCAAGGTAGACCGCACACCTCCGCAGTGCGGATGCCGTATCCGTCGCCGGGGTCACCCCGCTCGTCCAAAGCCTGGTGAAGAAACGGCACCGCGCCGGTCTGCCCGCCCGCCCCGTCCGGTTGCCCCCGCCGCCGCCGCTGCCGGTGCAAGGGCTGTCTGCGTGTGAAATTCGCATTCCGTTTTGTCGTCGATGTTTTTGTTATCCGTGTTGCGTGCTTTGGAGTTTTTGTCGGTGGCAGATTGCACGGGAAAGCGAAGTGGGCGTCGGGGGGAGGGAGGGGCAGGGGCGGGTGTCAGCGGGATGGGCGTGTGTGCAAAACATTTTTGGCGGTTACTCGCCAGCACCATGCAGGTAAAGACTGCAACCGCGATGGATACCGTCGAGTACCGGCGCTGGGAAAGTCAGAGAAAGTTGTCTACACTACTACAGATACATGTTGATATGTCTCTGTAAATAGTGTTTGGCATTCCGGCACCGAATTGATTGATCGATCGATCAATGGAAGGGGGAAGGAAGGGCCGCTGCGACGTCCACAAAATTGTTTGCATCAATCGGTGGGTGCGCGGGTGTCGTGATAACGGAAATTAAATAAATGAAGGTGAATCCACCAGTCAGTTCGCTTCAGGAATACCTCATGCAGATGTCAACATGTATGTGTAGGTTTTTATGCGCATATGCATATCATTTTGCCGTCATTCGGCGCCATTATCGCGGGTGGTTGTAGATGGTGTGCTTACATAAATAGCTTCTACTCGCACGGGGAGTGTAATCTAAGACTCTTAAAATCTCGTATGCGTATGACACGTAACCTTTTGCTCTATCTACAACATGGACAGGTTGAGCAGCCATAACTGGCCCAGAGCGCTCATGAAACCGAGATTGACGCAGCAGGTGTGGCCATTGTTGAAATTTTGAAGGTGGCTTGCAGGAACTATAGTAGGTACAGCAGTTACCGAGGAGACCTCCGAAAAATCTTTGGTGTTTTCTTTCTTTGCTCCCGGCTCAAGCGGCTGCGCCAAACTGAACGACCACCGGCGGGCGTGGTCGTTCGGCAGCGCGCACACACAGCAGCCAACAGCATGTCCCAAGCGTTGAGAATGACATCCCTTGTCATCACGCCGCCAAATGGTACGACCTTTGTGCAGCCCTCCTGCGTGAACAAATGCATCATGCGTACAGCACCGTCCTGTATGTCTACCCCCAGTGATGATCTCTCGGGCGTTCTCATGATGATTTTCAATTTCCCACCACACACCGCGGCCGCTTCCACGCTCTTCTTCCACGAATACGAAAAGAATTGCTTACAGCAAAAGCTCTATAGATGATCGTCAGGCCGCCATTGCCGACATCTGCTCTGACATGCAGGTTTCGGGAGAGAGCCGCGGGGCGTGTATTATTATTATTTTTACCGAACGCGTGCCGTCGTGCCGTCGGACCGAGCTGCCACAGGCCAACTCCTCCTTCCTGTCGTGTTTCAGCCAATCAGATTTGAGAACTTTCATGTGCGGGGGGAACTTGAACAGCTTGAAGTGGGAGATACACGTCATTTCTCCCAACCCCTTAGTTAGCGTCGCCGGCAGCAGCACCTTGGAGGACCAGCCGAGCAGCTTCGCCCCTCGCCCTGGGGATCACCACCAGGTTGGGTCTTGTACTCTAGTCGGTGCTGGTCAAGAGCTACTTCGTGCTGTCGGAAGTGCAGCGAGCTATCTTCTCCACGTGCTCCACACACTTTTTTTTTTCAGGGGTTGCTGCCAAGGCGGGGGGGGAGGAGTCTCCGCCGAGGAGTCTCTCACTGCTGCAAGGCAACCTCGCTGTGGGCTGGTGACCCCTGTGGTCTGGCTGAGACACTGCTGTTACACAGCGGTAGACGTGGTAGGAGCCAACATGGACGAGGGTGGTGGCGCTGGTAGCGGCGGTGGAGGGCAGCAGCCAGCGAGCGGTGCAGGAGGATGGGGGGGAGGCGGGGATGCCCCGCTCCCGCCGATTTTCGGCAATGCCAACGCCGAACCAGGCCACGAATTCAAGGTGTGGTGGGTTACGAGCTGTTACCATTCGAGATATTGCTCTGTGGTTTACCGAAACAGACCGTCCTGGTGCATGGGTAGTGAGAGAGGGATTGTGGGGGGAGGTTTGGGACAGCTGCGATTGTCATGTAGGACGGATGTCAAAGTACCCTCTTGCTTTTTCGAATCCTGCAGCAGCCAGCAGCACCGCAAAGCGGTTGCCTTTGCCTTTGTTGGTAGATACCATGGAGGGTTCGGCTCTCAGTCGAGTTGTCTCTTTCCAGACCCCTAGGGTGAAGTGGTGCCTATAGGAAGCTCCAGAGTCGAGGTTTTTGACCATGGTTATTTGGAAACAATTTTGCCAGATGCTTGCACCCTGTGTTGTGCTTGCCCATGAACCAAGAATGGAAGGTTGCTTCCGGTGCCTACAGCATTAAGCCAACAGCAGCAGTTGTTCACGTACAAGGGAAAGGCAAGGTAGCCACCCAGGTAGCAGGGATACCACAGCATTAATCGAATGTGGTACCTCCTGCAGGTTACCCATTTCTGTCTCGAGCTACTGCTGGATGAGTTGGTGCAGGTGTCTGTTCGAAGTTGCTTTTTACCCAACACAGCATGCACACCGGTCGCTGCGGCGCCTTTCTTTTTTGCCTGTTTTTTCCAAACCGTATGATATCGTATGCATAGCAACAGTAACGGCAGCAGTCCCACCCTCCGCACACCCTCCCCTCTCGCTGGGGCTTTGTTCGTGCCAATCTGCGGCGCTCTGCTCCACACACAAGAGCAGAAATGTGTCTACGTTTTCGTCGTTGCCGACGGCTATATCTTCATACCCCATGTACGTATAGCTCGGATGGAATCTGCAAGATACATCCACTACTTCCACCTCGATCAGATCCTTCGCTTGCGACAGGGTGGTGAAAACAAGTGACGGCGCGCGTTGCGACCACACCTGCCTGCCGCCGCTTCCTTACTAGGTAGCGCCGCAAAGCACTGGAGCACTGGAGGTTAAAATTCGGCGTGGCCTTCTCCGGTTCTTGTGTGATTTCTTTGGACCATTTTCACACGTGTGGGACAACGAAATGTACAATTTACTGCCGCCGGCCTCTTTTTCTTTGATGTCCGGCTTTGCACAGACAACAAAATGCTGGACGAGGCACTCTCTGTAATGATCCACCCAAGGCACCTCTCGTCCTGCCGGCAGATTGTACCAGCGTGCGATCTAACGCAAGAGTTGCACCTTCCCAAAGTGGGAACGGCAGAAGGGGGGTAAGGCAGTACAGCAGAAGTGTAGTTTGCCAAATAACCGCTAAGAGAGCGACACGGTTTTTCTTGCCGGCGGCCGTAGTCGGGGGGGGAAAGGGGGGTGGGTTCGGTGAGCATACTAGACCATCGGCATTTTTGTTGGTAGTCACCGCGCGGGACGAGAAGAAGGGTGTCGGAATGTAGGAATCGAATCGAATCGACCTTGATCGCTTTCGTGGCCCGGTAACCCGTGATAACTGTATGAGTACAATGCTGCTTGTCCAATTCTGTTCTCTTGTCTAGTTGTGCTGTTGGTCCGTCTGCGGGTTGCGGGTTGGCTGTGCCTGTTGTGTGGCTGTCTCGTGTGACCCGTCCCAGCACGTGTCGCTAGGAGTATTTTACGGCGGCGAGAGAGAGAGAGACGAGACTAAAGAGGAACTGCTGTGCTTATCTATGGATGGTGGCGGGGATTTTTTGTATTTCAAACACTGGGTTATATGCTGTGAGCAGCAGCACATGCGAGAACACCCCGCAAGTCGACGCCCCAGCCCGCGGTTATTTCCGTCAACGGTGGCTGCCCTCACGCACACGTTACGCGTCTACACACGTCAAGAGTGGCTATTAATAGCACCTTCGCTGCTGTATTGTTCTTACGTCCCTGGTTGGTTTAACTCCGACAGAACGGCAGACCGGCGGGATCTTTCCGAATCACCCCGCCGCTCCGAACGGTTTAAAAATAACATACCGCTGTTGACGCTATGGTCAAACGCGGGGAGAAAAAAACTAAGCGCCCGGGAAGACAGTTGTTCGGTATACCTCCCTCTGAATCTTGACACCCGGAATTGTCTCGCTACAGCAGTATATCGTAGTTTTCGAAATCCTCCGCTCCTAATGGAGGGAATATCCCGCTACGAAACCAACGCTCCCGTGCCACATTATTTTATCATGGTTGTTCTACCCACAGTACCGTCCGTAGTCCATCCTCCATCGTTCCCTCAATGGCCGTCTTCGATGGCGCCAAAGTCAACTTGTTCTGTTGTGCCGCATGCTTTTGGGGCGCCTTGATGAACGCCCCCCTCTCTTGATGAACGCCCCCCTCTCCTGTCCTTGCGCCCGCCCACCGTGTTGCCGTTACCCGGCTTTGAGGTTTCTTCCCACCCCCGCTCCCTTCGCAATTTTCTCTCGCCTGTTCCTCTCACGGCACTGTACTGTTGACACAGGGTATGGACCTTAACCTAGACGACGTGTTCTCCGGAGTGTTCTTCTCCCCCGACGGCGACCTGCTCGACATACCCTCAGACGGCGACGAATCCCTCAATCTAACCCTCTCCTCCACGTCCATAAGCGACGGCACCACCCACACGCCGTTCGCGCAGTTCGCCGTTCTCAGCGGGACCGCCGACGACGGGGACGCCGCCGCCGCCGCCACCGCCGCCGCTGCCGGCGGCGTGTCCGCGGAGGCAGCAGCAGCAGCAGGCGCGGGCGAGGCTGTGGGGGAAGGCGCCGGTCCAATGCCCTCTTTCAGGCGGTCCTCCCACGAGCTCCAGGACCTCCTGAACTTGCCGGGGGGGGGGCAAGGAAGTATGATGGACACAGACGATCCGGCGGCGGCGGCGGCGGCGGGGGTGGGCCCGCAGATAGTCGGAGCGGCGCCGGGAGTTGTTGCCGGGCTCTCGCCGCAGGGGGCGTTCTTAGGGGGGGGGGCAGGCGTTGGTACCCAGGAGGCGGCGGCGGCAGCGGCGGCGGAGGCGGCGGCAGCTGCCGAGCAGGCGCAAGCGGCGCAGCAGCTGGCGGCGTCGAAGGCGGAGCAGGCGGCCCAGGCCGCCGCGGCGCACGCACAGGTTTGTTTTGGCTTTGGATTTGGTTTTCGGGGTGTGGGATTAGGTTAGCTAGAGTCTTCCACGGACGGGGCAGGGTGGTCCGTTTCGCGCTTATGGCAGACACACCTGCTGCGTTCCTCCACGTCAACGTGCCCGCTTGTTCGATCATCTCCGGCAGATGTCCGACAATAATATGTGGGTTCTGCCCACGTGTGTGCATGCGGCACGGATGCATGTGTTTCTGTTTCTCTCGCCTTTCTTCTCCTTGGGTCGATCGATCTAGGTATCATGCAACCCAAACTTATCAAACCACTCCCATCGTGGGGCACGACGAAATAACGCGACAGGCGCAGACGAGCACGCCGTTCGCAGCGAGTGCGGTAGCGGAGAAAGCTCACCCTATACCCGCCGCAGGCGCTGTGGGCGGGGTACCGATCCCAACACCAACACCAACGACAGCTCCAGTAGCAGCAGGGGCATCATCGTTGCCGCCGAGAGGGGGGGGCATATCGGCGGCGACTACCGGGGGCGGGGTCTCCGTGGCGTGGGGAAGGGGGCCTCACTCGGGGGCGGGGGCAACGGCGGCGCCCCGGCGGCAGAGGCATAAGGTTTCGAGCAAGGACCTCACCGAGGAGCAGCGGATCGAGAGAAGGTCCGTCTGTTGTCTGTCTCTCTAAAGGGTCTTGTCTTGTCCGCCTGTCTGTCTGTCTGTCTGTCTGTCTATCTGATTACTGTCTGGTTAGTTCCATGTGGGTTTTGTTGGTCGAGCTGCTACGGTTGTTGTTTGTCTTTGGTTCCCGTTCCGTTCACTTGGTGCGGGCGGGCTCCCTCTTAGCCTTCTCTTTGACGCGAAGCCAATGGCGAAGGTTGTTTGCCGCAACCCCTTGGCTACCTTCCTTGTTGACAATTATTGCTCCGGGGAGTGACGTGTCCCCAGTAAGGGGAAGCAAGCCAGTTTGTCCCTTTTGTAGAGACGTGGACAAGGGAGAGGACAAGGGAGAGATGGACAGATAGATAGATACGCCATGGCGATTAACCCTTTAGCTCTGGGCACTCTCGTGTGTGTTGCGTCATGTGTGTGTTGTACGGCTGTAAGGGTCCCATTCCAGGTTTGAATCAAGGGATACACGATTCTCGACGTGGAGAGAGAGAGAGGGGGGGGGGGG